CATGGTCAACGCATAATACCACATTGACATAACATTTCAACTTTCTTTGTTTTAATATTGCAGTGATTATTTACGCACCTGACAAATCATAGTGCAAGGATACTATTCACAATTATACCACTCGATAGGTATGTGACGCACTTCATATACAATCTGGCCATCGAATTAGGACCACGTAAAATTTCACTTTTGTGGCTATAATTATGTCGTCTATGCAAAATCTTGTGTAATGCAAAATTATTGCTAAGTACGATGATAATATATACATGGAAATTTGTTACCGTGATGGTAAATTCTGGGGGTGATGAGCGATTAAGGGAGCGAGCGTTTACGTTAGGAGTATCGGTAGTGTCAGGTGAAAATTCCACAGAAAATGTCTGCCTACTCGAAGACTAGGTTACTACTCCCCCACATTATCCGAGTTGAATTACAGATATTTGGGAACATGAAGATATAAAGCATATGATCAATATGGAGCATGCAGCTGTGACCGAAGCAAAGGAAATACAAGATATTAACATGTGTTAATACTATGTACAGTATCATGCTAGCTAATAAATTACATCATTACAATTTGTCCTTTTACGAAAAACGTGAAAAACTTATATAGTGCTCCACGTTTAGCAGGTCGAAATTTGAAATTCACTGACGAATTCGCCGGCACCTGGTGGCAGAAATAGCTTCTTAACTGTTGGTAGTGGTGGTGTTAACGGCGGTCGCCTGGGGCCCTTCGAACGTGTATCTAAAACCTTGCCACTCGTCTACTCGTTCCTCCAGGTCGTTCTTCGGAGTTGATCCTTCGAGCCCTCAGGGCAGATCGTATTCAAGTGCACGCTGGCTAAATTTAGCTCGGGATAATTTACCGGATTCTGTTGAACTCGGCTCCGTTCGTTTACGAGTGTCTCAACAGACGGTCCTAAAAGACTTCCGCGATCTTTCGCAAAATTATTGACCTTCATCGGCCAAGATAAGCTTCGCAAAAAATCGAAAAAGTCGAAATTTTCTTTCGATGAATAAAAACCGTGGGAAAAAGAGGAAATAAAATAAAGAATGGTTGAACCGGTTTTTCGCCGGGGTATAACGAACGCGTCCAACCTTCGTCGCGAAACTGTACGCAGGAATTTTCAAGGAAAGATTATTTCTGCTCGTTCATGACTTCTTTGTGTTTTCACCCGTTTTCCCGCTGATTTCATTCGTTTAAGCCGGACTTATTAACGGATGTGCAACTTCGACGTTTTAACACTAAACTGGTTAAATGAGGATTTCATAAATTTCTTGCTTTAAGCAACAAAATTTGTACAGCTGCTTTTCTTGAAACTTGTGTTGACTTTTATTGGGATAAAGATTAACACCCATTAATTTCTGTTTATTTTTAATTTTAAGGCAGGTGTGCAGGATTAATGTTAATGTACACGATCTTTATCTTTTTTTTATTTAAGGATGTTTAATGTATTTTTTTATATATTATATGCCTTAATAAACTTCGAGAATTAAAAAATAAAATATCGTTTCCTTATAAAACAAAATGTACTAAAACATGGAAGAAGTGGTCTAAATATAGATTAGCATTTTTATTTCACGACACATTGGAAAGTTTGTTAAATTTTATGATGATATAATGCTTGAATGAATATTTCAAATGTTTGTCCTATGGTATAGAGTTAAGCTAAAATAAATAAAAGTAACGTTTTATAAAAACTGTGTTTACAATATGGCCTACTGTTTAGAGAATCTCAGACAAAAGTATGCAATGCATATTTCCAAGTTCACTTTGCGAACTGAAAAATTAGTAAATTGATAAATTGAAGAATTTATGGATGGATGGTCTGGGGAATTGAAGAATTGACGAACGGACAAATTGAATAATTGAATAATTGACTAATTGATTAATTGATTAATTGACTAATTGACTATTTGAATAATTGAATAATTGAATAATTGAATAATTGAATAATTGAATAATTGAATAATTGAATAATTGAATAATTGAATGCTTGAATAATGGAATAATGGAATGATTGAATCATTGAATCATTGAATCATTGTATTATTGAATCATTGGCAAATGGAATTTTTGACAAATTGAATTATTGACAAGTTGAGCAATTAACAAATTGAATAATTGACAAATTGAGTAATTCACGAATTGAATAATTCACAAATTCCGTAATTTACAAATTGAGTAATTCACGAATTGAATAATTCACGAATTGAGTAATTCACGAATTGAGTAATTGACAAATTGAGTAATTGAAAAATTGAAGAATTGAAGAATTGAAGAATTCCAAAATAATTTAAAATAAATCAAAATAATTCCAAAATTGAAAAATTTAGAAAAGAGAGATTTAAAGAATTGAAGAATTATAAAATTGGAAAACTGGAATATTAGAGAAATGAGGAAATTACAAAATTTCAGAAATACAAAATTGGAGTATTGGGAAACTAAGAAATTGAGAAATTGAATATTTGGACAATTGGGAACCAGAACAATCGAAGAATTGAAAAATGGGAAAATTGATGAATTAAAAAATCAACGAATTGAAAGATCACAAACTCGAATAATCGATTAATCGCACATCCAAAACTTACGAAACTTAAAACAGAAAATTTCCAAGCGACCCATGAAAAGATCACAATCAAAATATTTAACTAGCCAGCATCAATCATTGCAAAAGGTGTCGCAACCGATTTTTCTCCCTAACACGGCACACAATACGCGGAACACGCCTTCTATTAAATCGCTGGAAGTTATTTCTCTTGTTTTTCCAAGCCACATTGTTGTGCAACTCTCTCAGTAAAATATGTCGAATCGAACTCATCGACCAGACAGGAAATACTTGCATCGATAGTTCGACATATACATAGCTTTCGCGTATTACGACACTTTGATCTCGAAAAATATTTTCCAGCCACTTGTTAATCAATCTGTAGCCGTTCTACTTCGTCGAGTCGCTGTCAACATTTCACAATAACGCATACTTCGAATCGCGTATGTATCAAGGCTCCAAGCTTTAATGTCAGAAGCTTTCGAACACTGGATATTTAGCATACGAGACAGGTATAATACAATTAATGCATCAGAATGAATATTAATCGATAAATTTATGGCAGAAGGCTATTTTAAAATTGTCAGACATTTTTGCGTTTCATTTTACAAATTTTAGAAGCAACTCAGTGCTATACAAATTTTAATATTTTACTAGATATATGTACATCTAGTTTACGTGACTAAAGCTATAATTCATTAAAGAAATATTGCAAAACGATGAATTAATTAAGTTTGCAATTATTACACAGTTTAAATGCAAACACGCTGAAGTGTTATAATAGAGTTAAATTTAAAGACATAATTCAGAGACGTCATCTTGGCTCAATTTCCTGGATTCGAAACCGTTCAAAAATTAACTGACAAAAGATGTTACAATGCACGCTAGCGACGTGATATTACAGAATCGAGGTAATTATTCTGCATTTATACCCGCAATTATGGTAAAACCTCGCAATTTACAGTCGATCATTTTCTACGAAATAATACCTAGCCTGGTTCTTCTTACGCCTGCTGTTCACTTTGTATCGTCTAGAATGTTCTATTGTTCTAATTATCAAATACGTAACAGGCGAGATTAACGTTTGATTATTCTCCATTTTTTAATGTATGTTCGTCAAATGAGGCAAATAAACGAATGACAGTAAATTTATTTCGATGATGATAATTAAGTAGTAGATTTTAATAAAAGTAATGTAGGATCAACATTTTTAATATCCATAATTGTGTTATTAAAAATAGCATTCATTGAGTGAACTGTGATGGGAAAAATCATGTACATCGTTTTTGATTGAAGATCTATTTTATTTTGATGCTATGAATTGTTTGAAATTATAAATTTGGTCGTGGTGATTTAAGGCATTCAACTTGAATTTGAGGTTAAAAGAGCTTCACTACAGTTGAGTTTAAAAGTGACATTAAAATCGCCATAAACATGTGTATCTCTGATTTTGTCCAAAATTGCAAAATATGAATACCCCATGTCCACGAGATCAGAATATAGTAAATGGTTTCAGTCGATGTTTCCCGCGCAAAAGTTGTCTGAGGCTCTAAACGTAACGTGACCGCCATTACCAGCCAACGCGGACAATGGCGGTCGAAAGCATTTTCCGTTCAACTGCTAATTTCACCCAAAAATGAATACCAAAGCGTTTATCCTATTATTCAGATAATAGTTCGATAGTTGAAGTTTGTAAACGGTAACTTGCAATAAATATTTGACTTCGTACTCCAGTTTTATTTGGTCATCGCTCAAGCGGCCGCCATTACCTTTCATAGGGATCAAGGAGTACCACTCCTGAACCGCAACGAAATTAAACTAATAAGATATACTGAAAGATTTCGAATAACGTTGCGATTACGTTAATAAAACATGGTAAACTGAAAAGTTAAATTTGAAAGTGGATATTCTTAACAACTGTTTATATCTCTAACAGTTTTATGTCAGACTACGCGTGTCCATTTTCACTGCCAAGGTATCAAATATTTGATTCCATACTTCGGTCTTACTCGGTTATTACTTAACATTACCTTCCAGCTATAGTGTATAATTTTTAACAACAGTAAAAATACAAAGCTACAAACGTTGTAATAACAGTTACTGAACTAAACAAATATTTTACAAAGGTAAAGCTTGGTTTCCTATAAACATAGCGGTAAATATTTATTAAGCAATGTAACTATTTATTAAACAGCCTCAAGAATGTTACTACAGATATTAAAGTTTGTGATTTTGTATAAACTTCTATAGAAAGTTATTATTAAGAGTTATCCCTAACAATTTTATGTCTGACTACATATATTCATTTCCACTGCCAATCTTTGGTTTTACTCACTTATAGCTTAAGTGACCATTACTGCTTTGCCCTTCCAGCTTATCGTAAAGATCCATAATTATTGGACTCTAATCTGATTTCACCTGAAACGTTATTAACTTGTTTCTTCTTCATTACAGGTACGGGGAAAAGCAACGAAAAGTTGATAGTCAAGAACTTAGTGGTATACAATTACTGTCTGCAACCGCTTATCAGCTGAAGAAACCCTATCAGCAGCTTCTCATACCGATCACAGTATGGATTGGCATGGAACAGGCGTTTATTGGAGCAGATTTTACACAAGTGAGTTATTAAAATTTTCAATTTATTATTCATAGAAAACCTCCACTTTCGAAAAGTTAGAAACTAATCTAACCTACTTCAGTAAAAATTACGAAAAATGGATCTCCATCTTGTACAGTATTTACTTTCGAATAATTAGAAGCTAACCTAACTTAACCCAATTAAAGTTACTAAAAAAGAGGAGTTACTCACCTAACCTACCCCAGTTACAATTATTAAAGAGAAAAAACATAACCTAACTTAATCCAATCAAAATGACCAAAAAGGAGGAGTTACTCACCTAACCTAACCTAGTTAAAATTGCTAAAAAGAAATAAAAAGAAGAATTTTTAAACAAAACTGGACCTCCATTAAATTACCTTGAAAACGAAAAATAAAAAATCTTTAAAAAAAAATGAAAAGTCCTTAAACGAAAAAAAGATGAGGGTTGTTTGAATAAAATGGAAGCCTCGTTTTTCCCTAAAATACGAAGTTCCTTTGATGTAAGGCAATTTCAGCGAGGCAATGATTTAACAACTGGAAGCAATAATTTACAGCTTGCCAGACAGAACAATCGAGTAACGAGCACCAATGAGATTCGAATAACTCGCCCACGCTCGCCACAAAATGAATGAGCTTGTTGTCAGTAGAAACTTGATTCCATAAGGCATTGATTACGAACAAATGATAATGTATTCACGAATGAATCTTCGGGTCGAAGGAATTAATGAAACGGTTTAAAAAAGTAAATGCAATCGACCATTTGAAAGTATAATTATGTAATTGTTGGTCACGAGAAGACTTATGGAACTACTGAATAATATTAAAAATGCTAATGTTGCGGTTAAAATACTGTCTTGCGGAGTAAAGCAGGCAGTTATATTGCTACTTTGATAGAGACTTTCATTCGCGACACATATTAACTGTTGATGAAAATGAGGATATGAGACGTGTATACTTTTTTATATTTTCAAGCCTGAAATTCTCAACTTTTAAAATTCAAAAATATTTACGTTGAAACGTTCAAAAGTTTTGCAATCTAGTCATTTTCGATTGCACAGCAGTTAACATTGCAAAATCTAGTAACTTTAGATCATACAGCATTAAAAATTTAAAAATCTAGTAACTTTCAATTACACAGCAGTTGAAATGTAAGAATCTAGTCATTTTTAATTGTACAACAGTTAAAATTGACAAATCTAGTAACTTTCGATTATACAGCATTAAAAATGAAAAAATCTAGTAACTTTCAATTACACAGCAGTTGAAATGTAAGAATCTAGTCATTTTTAATTGTACAACAGTTAAAATTGACAAATTTAATAACTTTCGATTATACAGCATTAAAAATTAAAAAATCTAGTAACTTTCAATTACACAGCAGTTGAAATGTAAGAATCTAGTAATTATCAATTGTGCAGCAGTTAAAATTGACAAATCTAGTAACTTTCGATTATACAACATTAAAAATTAAAAAATCTAGTAACTTTCAATTATACAGCATTAAAAATAAAAAAAACTAGTAACTTCCAATTACACAACAGTTAAAATGTAAGAATCTAGTAATTATCAATTGTGCAGCAGTTAAAATTGACAAATCTAGTAACTTTCGATTACACAGCATTAAAAATGAAAAAAACTAGTAACTTTCAATTACACAGCAGTTAAAATGTAAGAATCTAGTCATTTTCGATTATACAGCATTAAAAATGAAAAAAGCTAGTAACTTTCAATTTTGCAACACAAAAAATGATCAAAACTAGTAATTTTCAATCATACGATATTAAGAATATTCAAATCCATTTATTTTCATATTAACACAATTTAAAATTAAGTCCTTCAATTTTCAAATCTCACAATATAAAAACTTTCAAGTTTAAAAATTTGCACAAGCAAAAATTCTCCAATTTCCAAACCAGTTTTCTCAATTTACAACCCACAAAATGTTTAAATCTCGCAAATTTTCAAGCGTATAAATTTCCACGCTTAAAATGCACTTCGCAAAAGAATTAAACGAAGAACAATTAAAATTGAAATCTGTAAAATATGTATTATTGGATGCAGATAACATAATAACAGAGATAATAGAAGATACGGACGATAAAACGATAATGGTTATATGGATACTGAATGTTGTTTAATAATTCAAAGCTTTAAAAGGCAAAGGATGCGTGCCTCGGCCGATATTTCAGCGTATCTGCTTGCGATCAGCTGCATGTATTTCCGGAGAACAATTGTACGACCTCGCATGGCCGTTACGCATCACGAACCTGCCGTTCTGTATCCGGTTCGTATCCGGGTGATCCTAGCCAGTTTTTTTGTTGTCTATCTGATGAGGATAATCATTAACGATTTCAGGATATCCAGATTGATTATTGTGTTCTTTTTCCGTGAGATGTTTTGTGTTTCCCGGTGATAATACGTTTTAGCGGTCCTTTGGAATTGCGGAAGATTAGGGCTTCGGGTTTTAGGGGTTTTGAAATTTGGAGAATTTTTAGGACTTTTGATATTTTTAGAATTCTTAGAATTCTTACAATTTAGACGATTTTTAAAGCTTCTGGGCTTTTAGAATTTTTCCAATTTTAGAATTATTAGATTTATTAGAATTTTTAGAATTTAAATGATATTTAGGGTTTTTGGAATTTTTGGAATTTTTAGAATGTAGAGGATTTTTAGAATTTTTGAATTTTTTAGAATTCTTAGAATTTTTAGAATTTTTACAATTTTTACAATTTTTACAATTTTTAGAATAATAAGAACACTGAAAATTTTTAGAGTTTTAAGAGATTTGAGAATTGTGAGAATTCTGCAAGTTTTGGGAATTTAAGGAACTTCAGAAATTTTGTAAATATAAAGAATTTGGGAAATTTGAAGAATTTTGGGAATATTCAAAAATTTAGAGAATTTTTAGAATTCTGAGGAATGTTGCACACTTTGCTTATTTTGTGAATTTTGAGTATTTTGAGTATTTTGAGAATTTTAAGAATTTTGAGAATTTTGAGAATTTTGAGAGTTGTAAGCATTGTAAGAATTTTGAGAATTTAATAGACTTTGCTAATTTTGAGAATTTATGAATTTCAAAATAAGAAATTTGATAATTCCACAATTTAAAACTTCTCAAACCTACAAATTTAGAAATCATCTAAATTTCTAACCTCAAAACTCTTTTCGCGCCAAAATTAAAATACTTGAAACTCTCTAATTTCACGAATTATTTCTACAAATCTATTTCTACTAAATTTATAAATTTTAAAATAAGAAATTTGATAATTCCACAATTTAAAACTTCTCAAACCTACAAATTTACAAATCATCTAAACTAACCTCAAACCTTTTCGCGCCAAAATTTAAACTTGAAACTTTCCAAACTTAAAACCCTCAAAATCCTAAAAAACCCAAACTTACCTCAAAAATCTTTTATCACATTAAAAAATTTGAAATTAATTTCCCGAATTTCTAAATCTACGAACCTATTTTTATCTCCTTAACTTCAGTAATGTGTATTCGAATTATAAGTTGTATAATATACAATCGATTGCGTGTGCCAATACACGGCGCCGGCGAAGAAGAAGAAAAAAAAAAGATGATACAGTTTGGAAGGTAATCTTGTTTAAAACCAGTTCCATGACGAAACGAGCGAACTGATTGGCCGGCGAATAAAGTAATTGGCCAAATAAATGCTGTTGAAAGACGTCAAGATCCTCGGGGTCGGCTAGCTTCCATTGAATCAGCTGGTCCAGCGTGTTATAAATAGCCCAGAATCTTATTCTTGCAGCAATTCCCTGATACCACTTCCATACCTGGAATCTCGTGAACCAGTATTTCTTCTTTTTTTTTTCTCCTCCTTCTTCTTCTTCTTTCTTCGGTTGTACGTGCATCGGGCGTACATGCTTACACTTACATACCTGGATAAATGAAAGCGCACAGCCATGTTGATCGCATCCTTGCGGTCTCTTATTATATGTGCGTCAGTGAAATTTCTTATGAAAAGAATGTTCTTTCTTTGTTTTCATTTTTTTTATCTCAGGGTCGTTCGGGGAGAACGTTATCGAGTTAGTGTGGTGTTATGGATCACAAAAGGGGGTTTTTTATTAGATTTTGAATTTTGTGGAGTTGGGTACGGCGGATGATAGGTGACTTTTTAATTGGGAATCTAGAATAATCTTAATAGTATTGATAATATTGATAAAATTGATAGTATTGATAGCACTGATAGTATTGATAGTATTGATAGTATTGATAGTATTGATAGTATTGATAGTATTGATAGTATTGATAGTATTGATAGCATTGGTAGCATTGGTAGCATTGATAGTATTGATAGTATTGATATTATTGATGTTATTGGTGTTATTGATATTATTGATGTTATTGATATTATTGATATTATTGATATTACTGATGTTATTGATGTTACTGATGTTATTGTTGTTATTGATGTTATTGATGTTATTGATGTTATTGATATTATTGATAATATTGATAATATTGACACTATTAATTATAGTGATAGAATTTTGTACTTTATGTATTTTTCTTTATGTATTTTTAGAAACTTTCTTTTGTTTCATTGTTTTAAAATTTTGGTTTTTTAGATTAGAAATTTATGGATTTCAGAATTCTTAAATTTTTAAGTTAGTACATTTTTAAATCTTGAAATTTTTAAGTCTCGAAATTGGAAACTCTATATTTCCAAATTTCCAAATACTCAAATCTCTCAATCTCCAATTCTGTAAGTTTCTAAATCACCAAATTCCCAAATCTCTGAACTTCCAAATCACAAAGTTCCCAAATCTCTCAATCTCCAATTTTGAAAATTACTAAATCCCTAAATTCCTAAATTCCTAAATTCCTAAATTCCTAAATACCTAAATACCTAAATTCTTAAATTTCTAAATTCCCAAATCTCTGAATTTCTAAATCTTCAAACGACCAATTCTCTAAATTTCCAAAACCCTAAATCCGTAAATCCCTAGATCCCTAAATCCCTAGACCCCTAAATCCCTAAATCCCTAAATCCCTA